GGTGCACAGATGTGTGTAAGGAAGAACACAATTCGCACAGGGGCCCGGAGACTCTGCCCCGCTACCAAGTGGCCTCATTACAATCTTTTAATGGAGTCATCTTATTTAACCCTGGACAGAAAAGACAGTACATTTTGTTAACATTTCCTACAATTTCCTTTTCTTTTACAATACACTTACACTCTTTTCTTCAAATTTAATTAATATTGCCTGACTTTACTCTGTGATGAAAGTTCCGTGGTGTTCATCAGCAACAAATTGTGATAAGAGATATTAACTTTGAGAGTCATTACTGTTTCAATTAGTCATTGTACTAACCATATACACACAGGATGACATAATATTCAATGGTAACCATGACTCCTAGAATTATAACAAAGCAGGTCAAAGAGGTCATTGCTGCTTTCCAAACCACCATTCCATAATATTAAATAAGGGCCATTTATTCCTGAATTTTCAGCTAATTCATTGGATAAAGTAATTAGTCCCAGAAGAGCTTTTGTAATTATCCCATTAGGAATTGTATTGTTGGAAATCAAAGTACAATATCTTCCCCCAAACATAATACAAATATCTCCATAGCATCATATCAAGTGTGATCCTGCTCTCCCAAGCCTTCAGCTAGTGGCATCAAACCATCTAGATGCTCCTTTAAGGGCATCCCTGGTAAAATTGATATATCTATACTAATTACTCTACATTCTTGTTTATTGTTGACCACCAGGAAATAATTGTTTTAAATTCTGCAGCTATTTGCTTTCTAGCCTTAAATGTATTTGGAACTCCACTAGGGATGCAAATGGAGTCAGTGGAAACATCAAAGGACCCAGGTAATGACCACTTAGCCCTTGGATTAGCTTTTCTAAGAGGAGGAGACTTGAAGGCCAAGGTAAAGTCTATGGCCAATTGAACCACTGTGCAGGTCCATTGCAAGTTGGGTAGAAGGCTTGAGTAAAGGTTCTCCTGTCCCTGGTACCACTAGATGTCAACTTGGGAGACATGGAGGGCAGAGTAATTGTTATTCGCCCCTCTGTTGCTTGAGGCATTCAAGTTGGGCATATAGACTTCATGATCCCCCACTGGGTAAGAGAAGCCAGCCCGTCTACATGAGGGGTAATTCACTCTCCTTGGTGATAAAGAAGATATTTGATGGGCTGGTTTGTAACAGGAGAAACAGACTCCAGCAAGTCATATTTCCCCATGCCTCCTTATCCTGTAATAAGGTAATTTACTCTGGTGGGGTTTGCATCATAGATGATAGGTAGGTAGATAGATAGATAGACAGACAGACAGACAGATAGATAGATGATAGATTATAGATAGAGATAGATAGATGATAGATAGATAGATAGAGATAGATAGATGATAGATGAT